CTTTTGTAAGGATCTTACCTGCAGAAATGAGTAGCAACGCATCCGCTCTTCCAAGTAATTTATATTTAGACATCTTTAGCAATAGAAAAATGCTAAAACACAGTAGGTCAATGATTACCAATATCATTTAAATTTAGCGTCCAAGAAAATCTTTTGTTTCCGATTCGAGAAAATGACTTCCAGCGCTTTCTTGACCACGGATTTCTGCACTAAAACAGCATTCAAAAAGCAAGGTTTTCCCAAGATTACTACCATTGCCAGCTCTGCGGAACAACATATTTACCTAGTCATCATTGAATTTTCTGAGTTAAGCCTGTGGTGTGCTCCAGAAAATTTTATAATTTTAGTATGCGCAAATTGTAATGGTTTTGGAGAGATCAGTGGGCAGAGATAAATTAGCCGCAAGTCAACTGGAGTACAGCATCAAACTGAATGACACCAATGATGCTGCCCTTGAAGTGCGAGGTTTGATGGTTATAAAACAAACGAAGAAAACTAGAGCAAAGCAAAGAAAGCAAGCCATTCATCACTGGAAGACCATTGGAAGAAAGGTAGGAAATTGTCAACAAAAATAGGAAGGAATTTGCAGTGTACACTTCTAGGTTATTCATACAATCGCCAAAGTTGGAAAGGAACAGGCGGTACTATTACTACATGGCCACGATCGGCTCGATCCCATTATCGAAGACGATAAGGTTATGAACTTGCAATGATAATGTTGTGTTGAAAAATTTTGAAGGAATCTTCATTACTAGTTCTACAAACTATTATTTTTAGACCCCTTCTTGGAATCGAACTCCAACTCGAATGCTTTCCAGGAGTCGGCCAAGGAGCATGGTTTCGCAGGCTGCAGCAGAGGTTTTGCTTTGCAAAATTCCTTTTACCTGACTTTAGATGAAAGTTTTTCAGGTGAAAACTGATGATCCAGTGAGTCATATGCATCTTTCTGCCCCATCAAGTACACAGCAGGTTGGTATCGTGATAAATTTCTTTCTTTGTCTGATATTTAATTCAGGCCATTGACTGGCACCCTGTAGAAGCAACAGCTGATCCAGATGTAGGAGTTCACGAGGAAACAGTTATTGTTGTCTCGCATAGATTTGCAATGGCATCACTGACGCACTCAGATTCGGTAGTTCCATATTTTTCGAAATTTTTTCAAGCGGTATACCATCCTTTCTCATTCAGCAACGAAATATGAGAATTCGAGGAGTGGAAATGGTGCCGTCTGGAGACATTCCTAACATGCCGACCAGTACACCACCAAACAGAGCTGTCAGCCCAAAGATTCGGCATGACATGTTTCGAAGGAAGAGCCCTAGTAGTGGTGGCAGCGAAAACAGCTAGTGAATGGTGCAGCTACTCCAAACTTTGCTTCACTTTCTCAAGAAGATTTAGGCAATTCTATTGTGGAGCTCAGAGTACCTTATGATCAGATCTCATCACTGGAATTCTATTTGTGGAACAAATAAATAATATGTACAGAATTTCCATCTAAAAAATTCCAGTTCACCTATCAAATGTGGTGGTACC